TTGAATTGTCATGGACAAACGGGATTTGATGTAATGCTCATATATCTTTATATCTTTCGATTTTGTTCATGCTTTGCATAGCATGTAAAGTATTGATAATAGGTTTAGTAATCTTATTTTCTTTGGTTTTGATGGTTATTTTAAGCTTGCAAACAAAGATTGTGTCCTACGAGCACTTGTGAGGAATTGAGTTTGTAGTAGATTATTTTGGACTCTTTTGTTGTGTAATTTTTCAAAACTTTTAAGTATGTCTGTAATTTCTATATAGTAAATAAAATCATAAAATTATTTTTTAATATTTATGAAACATATATAAATATTAATGATTTGATATAAAATGATAGTATATCTATCTATTATTAAACTTATATATTTAAAAAATAATAATAATTTTATATAGTAAATAAAATCATGCATCATTCACATTTAATACATTTATAATAGTCAGATAATAAAAGCGTAGATTATACCTGATGTACTCTCCTAATAATTAATGGAGGAACATATCCTACAAGATTGATTTATCTCAACAATGGATAAAGATAATTTATATTGCTCTCCATGGATAAAGTGGTATCCATCATCTGCCCAAGTAGAGACACATATTTCTTCTAACAATAGATGGAGGAACCGTCTAATATCAAGTTTGATGACCTGTTAATCCTTGGATAAATTGCTTTACTTGTTCTCGATAAGAATACATAGTTAAACATAATTATTTATTTATATAATTTATTTAAAAAATAATATGATAAAATATTATGAAGATTCATGATTGATGTATGACTTATCATATTATATCAATTATCGATCATGTATTTTAATAAATCGATAGTTTTTTTAATACGTCATACTTCAAATGAAACCACTCTACATAGTTATATATATAATACGATAACATTCACATTAATATCATCAACTTAATTAAAAACTAATAATTATTTCTAAATGACATATTTAGATAAAATTTTTAAGTTAATTAAATTAATATCTTAATAATCTTTATTAACAAAAACCTTAATTAGCATAACCCAATTGATTTCAAGCAAACTTAATTCAATAAGAATATAATAGAACCAACCTCCAAAATCTATAAAAGTGATCTATAATCATCTTTGACTAGTCTAATTTAGATTTGATTGATTTCGATTATGCCAAATAAGTTTTTCTAATAGTAGATAAAGAGAAACCTCATCTGATGATTTACTATCCCTGAAGAATATCACCCTATCTACCATTGATGGAAAAATAAAATCATCTCATATTCGTCATATGCATATCGAGATAAAATAATACAATGAAACATCTTAATTTATCTTTTTAACATTATTAATGTCAAATAATATCAATTAGCTCTCATTCGAGCTATGATTCAATCGGACCAATTTAACTATAACATAACTAAATCGATCTGTAATTCTTATTTAAATGATCTAACTTACCTAACTATTATAATTTATATTAGATTAAGTTTAATTTAAATCAAATAAACTTAAATAAATCAAATCAATAAATTGATTAAATCTAATTAGGTTCAATTAATTCTTAAGTCTAAATAAAAAAAAGATAAGAATAATATACTAAATTATATAGCACTAAGTTAGATTGGGTCAGCCGAAATCATATGCAAAGCATACGTTTGTTATACTAAGCTATGTCAAACACATAGCCAATAACCCAAAGACTAATCATATGAATTGCACATGACTATGTGAGTAATTGGTTAAGCTCAACTAATCAGTTGAGCCTAACCTACTAGTTATGACTTAATATGTGGGTTGAGCATGACTTGTTGATTAATTTCAACTTAAATTGTCATAAATTTCTTTAATTTTAAATTATAACATCATGAAATTATAATCAAAACATCTAATCATTAACATTATTCATTAAAATATAATAAATAATAATAAATAAAAAGTTAAAATTGTATAAGAGAGGAAATAATATTTTCAGTCAACTATCATATAAATTTAATATTAATAAACTATTATAAGTAGCATTCAAGATAAAAAAAAAGTTTAAAAATTATATATAGTATGAATAACTATAATATATTATAATTAAAGACAAAATTTTAAATACTTAAAAGGAATAAAATAATTAAAAACTATACATAGCATGTATAATTTTAATATATTTTGATCTAACAATAAAATTTTAAATATTTAAAGATAAAAAAGAAATATTTATATTTAAGAAAATATAAGAGAACAAAAAAAAATATAACTTTTTGTTTCTCATGTTATGAAAAATGAAGAAGGGGAATCCTCCGCTGAATAAAAAGAGTTGAGCCCTTTAATGTAATTATATTTCTATATTTTTATTTAATTTATTGATAAAATAATATCATTTAATCTAAAATATTAAACATTTACTTTATAAAATTTTATTCACAAGAAAATTTAAAAAATTATACTGAAAGATTTGATTACAAATGAAAATGTCAAATTAGTATTTTGAAGATCAATTTAACTATATTTTTTATATAAATAATTTATTCCTATAATTTTGTATTTCTTGTGCATAACGAAGGTTATACTCACTACATATAGGGAGGGTTGGAAGAATTAGGGTGCCTCTGCGTTTGCTCTCCTTTGTCCCACAATGGCGGCTGCGACGGTCCGCTCCACACTCCGCCGCAATAGCCTTCTGCCCTTTTTCGAAACCTGCCGCCTTCGAGATATCCTCTTCTTCTCCTCCTCTGTCAACGCTTCCGCCGCCGTAGGCGGCACCATATCTCCAGATCCCCACTTCATGGTGGAATACCTCGTCAACTCCTGCGGGTTCTCCTCCTCCGAGGCAGCCAAGTTCTCTAAACCCCTTGCGCACCTCCGATCCACCAAGAAACCCGACGCCATCCTTAACTTCATGAGATCTCAGGGCTTCGATGGCGCTGGTATCAGGAAGTTGATATCTTCGAGCCCCATTTACCTATGCTGCAACGTGGAGAAGAACCTCGCCCCGAAGTTTCAGTTCTTACGCGATTTGGGCCTCTCGGAGTCGTACATCGTCGATGCCATCGTGAATAACCAGCGCATCCTCCGCCTCGACGTTCACCGTTCCTTGGTCCCCAAATTGGAGATGTGGGAAAGTCTCTTGGGATCGAGAGAGCTCGTTCTCAAGCATCTCAAGAAGACAACACGGTTTTTCTTCTCCAGCGTTGAGAAG